TTGACAAAAACTGGATCCTTCTAGCCATGACCATAGTGCCTTGCACATTTGTCTTAGTGCGCCATCTGCAGATAATAAATAGCATTACAAAATTCAACTGATCCATAGACAATAGGCCTACATATGCCTACGCCTACAGGATGGGCTGGTGAAATTGCCAGAGGTTTATGATTAAATTCAAAGCATGTTTAAACAATGGAGGATTGTGTTATAGGTTAGTAGGCTAGGCCTACATAGTTGAGGCCTGGGTGAGGAGGGAACAGCAGGTATCCAGCTCTGTGAATATATGGGTAGCAGAATGTTTTGTGTCAAAGGGTAGGCTGCCATGTCTCGCAGCCAAGGGAGGTAGGTGATAGGTATGCATAGAAGGCAAGATTTGCCATTTGTACGGGATTTATTGAATAGCCTAAAGGGGAAGAGAGTAATGACAACTGCATTCATGTACTTACAAGAAAATAGACGTTGGCTTAATGTCACTTCACACTTAACTTGTAGTTAAATTAATTGGCTTAAGTCAGCCCAAATTTGACATAATGTACCATACCATCTGTTCCACTCCATCTGCCCTGAAAGGCTGAAACCAACTGAGTTAAATACCCTCTGTGTTAGGAAGCCTGCGTTATTAATATAGGCCTACTATTCCCAGAACATTTCCCACCAGGTAGGCCTAAGTCCCTACTGGCCTCTTACATTACCATGTTGGCACAAAAAGACTCAATACATGGATGTGTGATTGAAAAATGACAACAAGTACAATCTTATAACATTAAAAAAATTATATATAACCTTAAATGGTTTTTCAGCTGTCCCTATAGGATAACCTTTTGAAGAACCCTTTTTGGTTCCAGGTAGAACCTTTTTGGGTTCCATGTAGAACCCTTTCCACAGAGGGTTCTACATGGAACCCAAAAGAGCTATCCTATGGGGACAGCCAAAGAACCCTTTTGGAACCCTTTTAAGAGTGTAGGAAAGCAAAACATAACAATAAACAATATGAGAATTGCAAACTTTTCTCAAACTAACCTCCCCCGTGGCAGCAGCTACAATGGATACCCTCATTCCCAAACAGCTCTCGCTGAGCAAGTGCATACAGGCAATCCCCTGGAGAACAAAGAATGTCCAAAGTGATTGGCCACTAGCTAATTAAAGATGTGTTCCAGATCGAGGTTAGTTTTACTTTTTAGCCAGTAGTTCTGAAAGTAGGTCCCCGAAAATTGTGCACAATTGTGTACAATGTAATCCATTTTGTATGATATGTTACATCCTGCTTTTTTTGTGTTTGTTTTTTGTTTGTGCAATTCGTATGATATGTTATGAATTCCAATTTGTACAATATGTTAAGAATTTGTAAGTGCATTTGTACAATATGTTACTAATTTGTGTAAGTGCTTAAGGTCCCGTTCTATCTCTTGAACGCTTTTCTTGAGTAGCCTTCCCAACAGCTAAAGGTCCTGAAGCTTCTGCTCATGTGCGGGATTCTCTACTTTAGTTTACAGGCTACTCTGGCGAACGGTGCTCATTTAATAAAGTTAGATCAAAGCTGAATCACTGTCTGCAAGTTCACATAATGAAAGTAGGCCTATTCTACATAACATAACTGAATATAATAGCATAGTATAACGTTACTGTATGACAAAAATAATAATAATTCTTATGAGACTTTAGGATGATTGTGTGAATGGTCACATTTTTCTGTCATGTGGCCAAAACGTTTAGTTTTGATTGAAACTAAACACAGGCAGGCTACTGTATGTTACAGTTTGTTAACACAATCTGCTCAAAAATTTGCTCACTGCACATATTCTAAACAACACTGTAGGCTACTTCGAAACAATACTTTATAACTCAAGAAGATCTAAATGCATATCCCAATGAAACTGAGACTGTGTTTAAAGTAGAGAATCCCGCACATGCGCAGAAGCTTCGGGACCTTTAGGTGTCGGGAAGAGGGGTTCAGAAATGCATTTCGTAAACGCCATTTGCAATTGCAAAATCAATGCAACATGAAATCAACTACATACACATTAATGGAAATAAACACTGCAAAACACTCAACAAAATACTTTCAGTGTGGGGCATAAAGTAGGCTACACATTTTAATAGAGAATGTCCGACTGTCTTTAGCAACTTGAGATAAAAGTTGTGTTCCTTTGCGCAGACGTTGTTGACGCATTCCAGATCTTACAACGCCTTGAAAGGTATTTTAGGTGTCAGCTCATCACATCATATGTTATAGCAATCTGGTGCCAGCGGCACAGTCGATGACGTGGCACCCATTGGTTGATGCATGCAACTTCTGAGCAGGGGAACACGACCACTTTGTATGAAGAAGAAACGGAGCGCTAGCCTATAGTCAAATGTGATGATGGCTGTCTCTGGGCTCATAATCACACTTTGGAATAAAATAGTACTCCTAGAACAGGCATACACATTTGTGGGAAATCTTCCTTTTCAGAGAGCAGAAACAGACTGTTAACTCATTTTTATTAACTAAATAGAGGTAGGCTAAAGGTAGGCCTAGCTCAGGGCTCTCCAACCCTGTTCCTGGAGAGTTACTGTCCTATTGGTTTTTGCTCCAACCTACAGGAGGGAAGCTCTCCAGGAACAGGGTCGGAGAGCCCTGGCCTAGCTACTTCACAAATGTCAAACTGCTTGGGAATCAATTCAAGTCACACATCAAAACCTTTTTATCATCAATTTATATGGTTTATTTGAATTACATAATGTATGTGTATCATTGATATTGAATAACATTGGTTGGTATTAGAGGAAATATATTATATGTTTAATCTGATACATGGTTAAAACCCTGTACAATCATATGTTGTGGCTAGAAAAGGCATTTTTACGATAGTGTGAATGAACAAAGCAGAGAAACATTTCAGTTGGCAACTTCATAATAGGGGTTTGGGTAGGTCCATAAATAAAATGACTGCTTAGTTGCTTCCCATTGGCTTACAAACGTATATTTGCCATTGGTTACACTTGTATGCACACCTCCGATTCGCAGTTTTAATGTATACTGTATGTCAAAGCAAATTGGTTAATTTTCAAAGCGGCAGATTATAGAAACAGTAGTAAACAAACACAGTTTGTAGTAGAACTGAGATACCAAATCAAATGTACAGTAGCCCAAGGAATCAATCTACTGGTCCATCTTACTGTTCACTCCTTTCTTTCTGTAATGTTTGAACACCATTGTGGGTTTTAATGTTGTAGTTGACAAGCAGGATTAGTGTTAGAAAAGATCTGTGCTCCAAAGTGAAGCTATGGCATCTCTTTGCTATCGCTTAGGTCATGGCCTAAAAATGTCAGCGGTTCCACTGAATTGATACAATTGGTGTAGCTCCACTTCTGTTCTGTCAAGACATTCCGTGTTGCATTCACTTGGGGGATAATGCCAACATACCTCCTTCTCATCATCTTCATCATCTTCTTCTCTTCTCCACCATCACATTCAACTTCCACTTTAACACTCAACACCTCCTCTGTTCCCTGGGTCCCCTGTAGCTCAGTTGGTAGAACATGGCGCTTGCAACGCCAAGGTTGTGGGTTCGTTTCCCACGGGGGGCCAGTATGAAAATATATGCACTCACTAACTGTAAGTCGCTCTGGATAAGAGCGTCTGCTAAATGACTAAAATGTTCCCAACAGAAATACAAGCTGCACAAATGGCTGAATCATTACCAGTGAGCTTCATTGAAGATGTAAGTAGTGAACAATAACACGCTGAAGGACATTGCCTTGATTGTTTGCTCTGCTGCATAGAGCACTAATAAAATCTTGAACAAATGGAGAGTCAGCAGAACTGTTTTGTAACCAAGCAACAAATCTTTTATGCCATTGTTTCAAATAATAAAGTAAGTGATCCATTCATGTATATTGGACGGTCATATCAGTGCTGTGCTGTAGCCTCGGACACACCCAGGATGCATTTATAGATCTGAAATCAAAGTGTAGGAAGACATTTCAAAAGGAAACATTCATTCTGTCTACGTTATAGAGAACATGACAACATAAGGATATTCTCAGGCATTTGTGTCTGTGATGGCACTTGGGTGACAGAAAGTGTAGCAGGTGCATGCTAAGCCGAACACTCCACAGCAGTAGATGAACCATACTGAAGGAATGTCATTTGAGTTGTGTCAATGAGGACAAAGTTATTTATACTGTACCAGTATCATCATCAGCATTCATTCTATCCATTCAAGTAGTGTCTGTGAAAATCACTCCAAGTCTATTCAGTGATGGACCACACATGCTGGGGGTGAGGTGTCAAACCACACGGTGTTCCTACCTCCAGACCAGCTGCACACTGGCCAACAGCTGTGGTCAGTGGCTGACGTGAACATGCAGACCTGACTAAACCAAGTTGGTGACAGGGGGAGGACAGGGGGTGTTGGGGTCAGGGGTTGATCATTTGGCTGCTGGAATGATCTGATGTGCTGGTTAAAGCAAGCGGATCTAATAGTCATGTGTCCACTACAGTCCATGTGGTTGTGGAGTGGACAGGTAGAGTGAAGCAGTTACACTGGTGTCACATAGTTCCCTGGGAAAGTCCCAAAGGCATGTGTCCTTTCTGACGTACCTAAGGAAAGAGCAGAGCACATAGTAAACCAAAAGATTGTTCTCTCATACTGTACATCATACAGTACAGACAACCATGTTCCATTAATCTGACTACATAAGTCATATTTGTAATATCATTTGATGCCCAATAGAGGGCAGACTTGTATTTAATTTGACTTAAAATGGCAATCAGCTGTTGAAACAACTACAAAGTGTCCTCCCCACCACCATTTAGCTAAAAAGCTGAGGGGTGGGGCTGGAGAAATGTAACCACACTCAAATTCATAGACAGAGCTATGGATGAAAGGACTGACCATCCATGATAACAAAATTATAGTTCACCATGTTGAGGATCTACAGTGTTTGTTTACATTTAGTTTGTTTACAAACATTGGAGTAAAACAAGCTTATATTTTGGGTGCTGATGGGGTACGATAGTTGAACTAAGCTCATGAGGTATTTATAAGTTATATTCTTCAAGAATCAATGGGTCCATATCATTAATTTCTAAGTCCAAAAATGGATGTAGCTACTGCAGATTGCCCATTTCAGGTAAGGCTTGTGTAAATGTCTTACCTACAAACCAGCCATCATCACACTTCTCCATCACTTGTACGATGTCCCCCTCTCTCAGTTCCAGCTCATCTCTGTTCTGTGGGTTGTAGTTGTAAACTGCTTTGTATCTGAGTGAGACAGCACAGGCCAGGGTTTAGGATTTGATTTTTGGCAAGACGAATAGACTGTGGCAATGAAGAATGAGATAGACAGTATCCCAATCACGTTATATAAAATCACATTTTGATTGACACATTTTTTTGACTCACGGTTGGCGTTGCACTACTGTCGAGCCAGCATTGTTGGTCGTTTTTGTTTTGGGGATGTTGGTCGGGGCTGCTCCTCCCCTGTGGGCAGATGGTGACATCTGATTTGATGGTGAACCAGCTCTGCCAATAGAATTTTGCAAAGCTGGGTGTGCTGCTCCCCAGTGGTTGTTCTGGGGGGTGGGGGAGGCAGGCCCAGAAGTGGGGTGTGGCCAGTGATTGGGTGCTTCTTTGGATAGTGAGGGCTGGAGGGATGAACGTAAATGGGAGGCTACTGTCCCATGGGGTATGGGTGAGGACGGCTTCAGGGGGGAGTATCCTGGTTCAGGGCTGCGGGAGGAGGGGGTCAGACTCAGAGGCGAGCGGGTCAAAGGCGAGCAAGGTGAGTGTAGAGGGCGTCCTGGACTCATTGGCTCTGGGGATGTGGGTGACATGGGGCATAATGGGTAGTCGTCAGAGGATGATTTGGTGCGGGGCAACTTGTTAACCTGGACGTAGTTGGTGGGGAAGATGCCACTCCGGCTGGTCCCTGGGATCCGGCCCTCCAGCCACTTGTCGTCCACACGCCTGGTTACACTAATCACCTCGCCCTGAGATAGAGGAGCAGGGAGATCATGGTTCATGACAAAAGTACCATAACTCTCACGTAACACATTCAAATCTCAGGTAATCGTCAGTATCCATGTAATTCTGAATACAGTAGTGTATCAACCGTAAAGAAAACACAGGCAGTGTGAGAGAGACACAGTAGAGAGGGAGTACTTTGAATGATTAAAGATTCGAAAAGGACAGTCAACAGTTTAAGATTAGAGAGTAGAGTATTACCTTATTAATCCCAACTTGGCAAATTGTTTTATCACAGCATCCATCAATGACAGAACACGTAACAATGACCAACACATGATAAAAAACAAAACAAGACACAGAAAGGCACATGCACCATAGTATCCCTAAAAGGATAGTCTGATTCCAGTGCTGTTTTCTATCCTACTCTAGGGAAAAAACAGGCAACAAGATGTTCCAATAGGAAGACCTCACAAAACAGTTAATCAATTACACTCATTAAAAAGCCTCATGGCTGTGGGTAAAAATGACAGTCTAAACTCTCTGTGGAACATCTGGGCAGGATGGACCTGCAACTGAAGCTGCTACTTTGTTGCATTAGAGTGCTGTGGAGTGGGTGTGTGTCATTGTCCATGATCATGTGTGTTTTCACTTGCAGCCTTTTTATGAACATGTCCTGCATTGATTCCAGCCTGCAGCCAATTGCAGCACTGGCTTTCTTAATGATTTAATACAGGTACAGTGGGGGGAAAAAGTATTTAGTCAGCCACCAATTGTGCAAGTTCTCCCACTTAAAAAGATGAGAGAGGCCTGTAATTTTCATCATAGGTACACGTCAACTATGACAGACAAAATGAGAAAAAGAAATCCAGAAAATCACATTGTAGGATTTTTAATGAATTTATTTGCAAATTATGGTGGAAAATAAGTATTTGGTCAATAACAAAAGTTTCTTAATACTTTGTTATATACCCTTTGTTGGCAATGACACAGGTCAAACTTTTCTGTAAGTCTTCACAAGGTTTTCATACACTGTTGCTGGTATTTTGGCCCATTCCTCCATGCAGATCTCCTCTAGAGCAGTGATGTTTTGGGGCTGTCGCTGGGCAACATGGACTTTCAACTCCCTCCAAAGATTTTCTATGGGGTTGAGATCTGGAGACTGGCTAGGCCACTCCAGGACCTTGAAATGCTTCTTACGAAGCCACTCCTTCGTTGCCCGGGCGGTGTGTTTGGGATCATTGTCATGCTGAAAGACCCAGCCATGTTTCATCTTCAATGCCCTTGCTGATGGAAGGAGGTTTCACTCAAATTCTCACGATACATGGCCCCATTCATTCTTTCCTTTACACGGATCAGTCGTCCTGGTCCCTTTGCAGAAAAACAGCCCCAAAGCATGATGTTTCCACCCCCATGCTTCACAATAGGTATGGTGTTCTTTGGATGCAACTCAGCATTCTTTGTCCTCCAAACACGACGAGTTGAGTTTTTACCAAAAAGTTATATTTTGGTTTCATCTGACCATATGACATTCTCCCAATCCTCTTCTGGATCATCCAAATGCACTCTAGCAAACTTCAGATGGGCCTGGACATGTACTGGCTTAAGCAGGGGGACACGTCTGGCACTGCAGGATTTGAGTCCCTGGCGGCGTAGTGTGTTACTGATGGTAGGCTTTGTTACTTTGGTCCCAGCTCTCTGCAGGTCATTCACTAGGTCCCCCCGTGTGGTTCTGGGATTTTTGCTCACCGTTCTTGTGATCATTTTGACCCCACGGGGTGAGATCTTGCGTGGAGCCCCAGATCGAGGGAGATTATCAGTGGTCTTGTATGTCTTCCATTTCCTAATAATTGCTCCCACAGTTGATTTCTTCAAACCAAGCTGCTTACCTATTGCAGATTCAGTCTTCCCAGCCTGGTGCAGGTCTACAATTTTGTTTCTGGTGTCCTTTGACAGCTCTTTGGTATTGGCCATAGTGGAGTTTGGAGTGTGACTGTTTGAGGTTGTGGACAGGTGTCTTTTATACTGATAACAAGTTCAAACAGGTGCCATTAATACAGGTAACGAGTGGAGGACAGAGGAGCCTCTTAAAGAAGAAGTTACAGGTCTGTGAGAGCCAGAAATCTTGCTTGTTTGTAGGTGACCAAATACTTATTTTCCACCAAAATGTGATTTTCAGGATTTTTTTTTCTCAATTTGTCTGTCATAGTTGACGTGTACCTATGATGAAAATTACAGGCCTCTCTCATCTTTTTAAGTGGGAGAACTTGCACAATTGGTGGCTGACTAAATACTTTTTCCCCCACTGTATTAGGGTGTTAAAGATATAACATATAGTACATAGTAGGATGCTCACTTTGCGGAAGGACAGCTCAACAGGAAGGTCTGCATTGAAGGTGAACAGAGCCACTGCCTCTCCGTAATCCAGCAACTGGATGGTGGGAGACTTGATGGGTGTGGGCTTCTCTGTAGAAGGGACAATCTGGGGCAGAAATGAGTGAGGTTCAGAATGACATGTGGAGTGCATCACATAAATTGACACTCAGAGGTTAGATGGATGCACACCCACCTCCACATAGGTTGTGGGGAAGATACCGGCTCTCCCATGATGCTCTCCTTCAAACCAGTTGCCGTCTACCTGCCTGCGGATGTAAACAATGTCCCCCTTCTGTAGAGACAGTTCCCTATGAAGAGGAGAAAAGTCATACTGTGGCACCAGGGACATGCATTAGATTAAAGGAAGAGCTCAGCTTTTGTGCAATGTTCTGTTGCAAGGGTTTTGTTTCTAGTAACTCAATGTTAACATTAATATTATTGGGCTTTCTGAAATAATCGGTTTGGTCCAATTAGGTTTGGCAGACCTAAATGTGATATAATTACATTGGGTGTGTTTCTATTCACTGACAATACAGTTAAACGGACGTGTGAGAGAGGAAATGGTTTGCAGCCGATCAGCAGGAATTATAACTCACTTGGGTGACTGAGCCTGGAAAGTGAACTTGGCTCTTGCTGCTTTCATCTGCACAAACAAACACAAAGACATTTATTGCTTTTCACAAGGGCACAGGCCTGTTCCAGCTTGCAGTTGTTGATAGTTATAGCAAGATCCTAATCAGGGAAGCTAAAATAAAAGATATACCGATTATTCAGAGCACAATACATAAAGCACTAAAACCTCACGGTGAACCTCACTCCTCAAAGATCATAGATCCATTTTCAAAATGTTCTGACATTGTGTACAGTATACACAGGTATGTATAGTAGTTGGATATCCCAACACCAAGAAAGATAAAGACATCTACCTGCTTCTCCTGTCTCCTGGGTGGAAACTCCATGACTTCAGGTGCAGGGGAGAGGCGTTCTATTGTAGAACAGCATGGGGACGTGGAGAGTAACAGTGATGAGAGTGAGGAAACAAGACACGGGTCAAAAGAGTGGAGCAGAATCACAAGGTTTTATCAGGAAACTGTATAGCCTCCCAATCCAGCTTTTGTTGCTTTAAGAGTGTAATTATATCAAGTCAGTGGGAAGATATGTAAACATTGAATGAACCCTCTCCAGTTCAATGTATGTTATTCTAAAGAAACCAAACTTTTGGGCTGGTTCTCTGACTAATCTCCAAGAAAAACAGTTGGATAAAGCTAATCTATAATCAAGGCTTCCGGCCCGCAGTCCCTATTTTCTGTGCTACCTCCCCACCCATACACTACAGTTCTGTCCATACTAAAAGTAAGACACCTCTCCTCTCATTAACCCAGGTCAGTTTTATATCAAATTCATTCAGACAGATCAGGAAAGACTACAGGAAATCACAAGGAATCACAAGACTTCAACAGTAGTCCCATATTGAATTACTGTATTTCGTTAGTAGAGGCTGTTTTTCCATGGAAGTGTCACTGATTAGATTGTATACATTACCCATTTTAAAAATGAATCAATTCCGATAACAGCATTCAAGTACACAGCAGTATTATGGCCAACCTACTGTTACTAGTCTTTACTGAGCCATTTTACGGAGACTGCATGTCGAGTGGCCTATCCATAGCACCACTCTTTCTGAATAAATGTTTTCATGTATGGTTTGGATCCAGGATCAACTCCTATGTAGCCTTACCATGTGTGGGACTGGAGGTTGCCCTCTGAGCAACAGCTGTTGTGGGGACAATGGGACGATGGAGAGGTTGCTTTGCTCCAGTCAAAGAGCTGGAAAGAATGACAGGAAAAGAGAACAGGTTTACTATATGACTGTATGCTCCCACAAACTCCAGTCAATTTGATGTTTCCCAACATTAACAGCCTACATGGTGGAGCTCCACACTGTATAAGGACAGGGTACTGTGTGCAGTAGTATACACATTTGTCATGCAGATTTGGCCTCTGGCCACAGCTGCTGGTTTGCATATAAAGATCAAACAAAGTTGAAACAAATGACCAAATTGAGAGAGAGAGAGAGAGAGAGAGAGAGAGAGAGAGATCCAGATGAAATGACTCTGGGGACCTTCTGTCTTTGGAGAACTTATAGTCATCATTATAATCACTGACATTATTACCATGTGTAAATGACAGGGAAACATCATGCAGGGTTCTCCAATAATTGTGAAGTTAAAACATCTAGCAGCATGAGCAAATCAGTATCATTATTAAACAAACATATCTGAGAAAGTGCATTAGATCAGTAAACAGCTGTCCACTGTCTGAACCAGATAAACACAGTGACAGAGAGGCATCACACCTGCCTGTTGATCCAGTCAGAGTCTGGCACATGGCTGTGTCTGCCTGCAGCCAAGCAGGAGGCCTGGACAACAGGAAGCAGTAAAAACCTGCCATATTCTTATTGCTGTATGTTTCCATTTTACATCTCCTTAGCAACCGGCTCGGTAACCGGACCCTGAGGCCTTGAGGTAGGCAGGAGTTTGCTGGGCCAAAACCGCTGAGCTCAGTTCAGCAAACAACAATTAGGAGAGATCTGTCCAAGAATGTATTACACACTAGGTAAGAAATTAACTGAACTTCAACTTGTTAAAAGGTATGTAGCTCAACCATTAAGTATTCTATAAGAGTGTCTACTAGGCAGCAAGAGTAAAGTTACTTTGCTAAGTTTTCTAATTTCTACCTGATAGGGAACCAACGACTGTAAAGACTGTAACTTATGGCAACAGTAGTGGGATGGACAAGTGCATGTATCCATAGTGGATGAAGAAATGTGTAACTGGATTAAGAACGTGGGAGTTGTGCTCAGAGGAGGCCTGGTATGTGGCCTCCAGCCAGCCAAGGGCTCAACCATTAACCTGGCCTGTCCTGGTGTTACCTCCCTCTGCAGTTCACACTGGCTTCATGTTGCATATTAACAGCAAAATCTGGGATCATTTTGGAGAATATCTTTAGAAAGTCACAAGCTTTTGAATTGCATTATCTTTAAAAACTGTATTGTTACTGTAGGACGGTTATTTCACATGCCTGCAAAAATGCATTGACTGCAATAATTTGAATCATGGCTTAGAGACTGGCTTCATCTCTCTGCACTGGTTATCAAGCCACAGTCTAGCTAGACTCTTCAATGACCAACCTGCCAGTGAACAGACACAGATACAAGCCTGAGGAAGTGGGTCCCACCCATTAGTATCAAGACAACAGCAATCCAAACGGTTGTAAACAGACTTGTAGATGCTTAGTCATTGAAGAGGCATCAGTCATCCAAATGTAATGCGCAAGCAATAGTCTCAATACCATTGCCGTACATGTATGTAATATAAACAACATGTGGATTTTCTACTCATACCCAAGTGGTATGAGGTGTCAGAAATGATGCACGCATGTCAGTAGTGCATTATCTGTAGCCTCTGTGGGACAATAAAGTTGTAAAAAAAACTGCCAGATTTGATCTTTGTCCAAAACAAAATATTGTCTGGATAAGAAAGCTTAAGAAATGCCCCAATGATTTGAGAAAAGCTAAAATATTTGCTGAGTAAATCCCCTCTGTTATGAACAGATTTGTCAGAGCAAATGAAATAATGGAGTGTGAATCAGTTGATGATGACATGGTTTTGGGGACACACCTCAGCAACTATAGTAGCAGGATACAACAATGAACAGTATAATAACTGTTTCCTGTATCAACAACAATTCCTGTACATAGTTCTCAACATCAGAAAAGTGACGCAGCTACACCCAATGAACTACCCTGTACAACTTGAGACATAGTTTTACTGAAGGGATAAAACCATTGTATGTACAATCACACCAACAGACAAAGCAACAACGTTGTCCCATTACTCACCTGTTGTCCTGTGTTGTCCCTGTCCCTGCAGCAGTTCCTGGATCAGCGTTCCTGGCACCCTGGAAGCAGAGATCACATTGAAGGCTGTTCTCTCTTGATGGAAATCGCACAGCTACTCAGACAGAGCAGAGCTGGTGACCACTCCCAAATGAGCGAGAGGGAGAGAGAACTCCCCTGGGTCCTACACTCCATTGAATACACTCCATTGAATACAATTACAAGGTTGGTAACAGTATCTTTCCGTGGCATCTTTCATTGAGGAGTGGCAGTATACAACCACATAGAGCTGATTAGATTAGGTGCAAATTAAGGTTGTGAAGAGAATCAGCATCAACCTTTGAAGAGTAAAATTAAATCCTTCTATTCAGCATTAAAAGCATACAAGGCATACAGTGCTGCAAACAGTTAAGTTCTTCATTGAATTGAACCTCTGTTTCTACGGAAAGCGTGAGGGAAAAATCTAACAAATGCTTGTTGGATTTGCAGTCTGATTTAGATTTGTGGGGGGTTTAGATTTGTAGGCGTGTGATTTGAGGCAGACAGGTCAGGCAGGTCCTGGGCGTAGCAGGGTCACAGGGAAGTGTTGGGGTTGGCTTGCAGGGCTGTCTGTCTTTCAAATAGTCCTCACAGGAGGGGAGATGGGGAGATAACAGGGAGGTATGGTATTGACATTATCCATGCAAGCAACCAGACCTCCTCTCAGTGGATTTCTAGAGGAGTGTGAGAGTGAGGAGAGGGTTACAGGCAGGGTAGCAGGGAGGAGGGTTGCTTCAGCAGAGTCACAAGGGGGGCCTCAGTACCTCACCCCGGCCTCGCCGCGTCTGCTTCTTTTGGGAAAGCCTCCTCTCCAGGCCCTGGATGTCCGAGTCCAGCTCAGCCTCAAAACAGCTCAGCTCAGAGAGCAGAGACTCCTGGCCAATGCAGCATGGTGGTTGGAAGGAATGAATCAGTCAAATTATACAACTGAATACAGTAACTCATGGTGGCCCCATACTTGCATGCTTCTGCCATGATTCAATCTGTCCATGCTAACTTTTCCTTATTCTTTGCTAGCTCATTAAAACAATCACTGCCTTTGGCCATCATGGTCAAGGTTATGACAACTATCATGTCACTGTGAGCATTCACCTCGAAGGCAGATGGCTTAGACGGCTTCTCTATGGGGGACCAGGGTTTCTCTGTGGGTCTGTGCTGGACCAGCTGTATGGGAGGATGCTGGGGCTTCTGGGCTGGCTGACCCTGAGGCTGGGAAACACAAACATATAGACTCTGAGCACACAGTCAGACAGGGAGACCTGAGAGTTGGTCATATAGATAGATAACAGTTGGTCATAGTAGACGTATAGAACTGATATCTAACTCTTCTAAAAGTTCTTAAACCCTGCAGTTTGATTTACAGTAAAGCATGATCATCGTTTGTGATACATACAAGACCTATGTTTTTGACATGAACCCAGACAAACACACAAGTGTGTTCCTGTAGACTACTTTATAGTCAGTTAATCTGATTCACTTCATTAACTCTACATCCACATCAACAATTTAACAGCCATATGAAACAGAACTCATTCCCTCATTAAAGGCCCAATGCAGCCATTTTATATCAATATCAAATCATTTCTGGGTAACAATTAAAGGTCCATGTCACCAGGCAGGCCAAAACTCCATTCCACTGAAACAGGCAGAAATTTAAGGCAGTCTTTTCAAGCAGCTCTTACACTAAAAGGGCATTATCATAATTTTCACAATTTCACAGTATTATTCCAACCTCAAAGTGTGGAAATATATATAAAACACAGGAAAATCATGTTCTTGACTGCACTGGGTCTTTAAATAATAAATATAAATAAATAAATATATATTCTCAAGCAAGAATTTTGCTAGGACTGTCTGGGAGTGGGGACGGGAAAACTAAAAACTAGCTGTTACTGGCAGGTTTGGAACTGTTTTTGTTATTGGTCTATTAACCAATTTACCACATTGTGATGTCACCAGGCAAGCCAAAACTCCAGCCCAAACCTGCTAATTAGATTGTCCTGTGTAGATTGTATTTTCAACCAGCAACTATCAGGAAATAACAGAGATCTAATTTGTTCACACTTTTACAGTGTTAGTCTCATCAGCTGATACAAAACACAGGAAAAACTGCATTTTGACTGCACTGGGCTTTAAGAAGACATATGGCCCAGTAACTCACACCAGAAAGAATTGCATCAAGCTACACTACTTTAAAAGGGTAAAAACTCTTAAGAAACCTTCAACTCCCGGCCCCTTTTTCATGTTCCTTGAAATACCTTGGCAGAGTGAGATCCTGTGAAAGCCAAAGTATTCTCTCAGCCAGTAGTCATCACCACAATCACAGGCAATGATATCACTACTAAGGAGTTCAGCACTTGATTTGGTGTGTGCTCTCTAATTGTGTGATTCTCTATACACAGGCTGGCCTGGTCTGAGGAGAGGAGTTGCTGGAGGTAGAAGTTGTACCTAACCACAGATCTAGGATCAGATTACACTACCTCCAATCTTAACCTCAACCATTAGGGCAGGGTTCTTCAATTCCGGTCCTGGAGGGCCGAAACACCTCTGTTTTTCATCCTCTCCTTCTAATCAGGGGCTAATTCAGACCTGGGACACAAGGTGAGTGCAATTAACTACCAGGTAGAAATAAAAAACAGAAGTGTTTCGGCCCTCCAGGACCGGAATTGAAGAACCCTGCATTAGGGGGATCAAACATATATGACCCTGTATCCGTTGGTTAGGGACAACTTCTACCTAATCTAGAGCAAGCCTGTTGATGACCTTCAGAGTAAATGAAATACGCCTCCATACTGTGAAGCATTACGCACCACAAGAGGTTAACAGGCATAATCAGTATCACAAGATGCCTGGGCCACGTGGGGGACTCTACTCTGGCAGAGGGGAAACAAAGATTTATTTTCTTCCCGCTGTGAGATGCCAGGCTCAATTTGCACACTATCTGGGGCGTGGCGACAAGAGCCATTCAAAACGTCAGCCCAGAAACAAACACACTCCTCTCTAAATCATTCAGGGTATTTTAAAAGACAGACATACAGTACTCAAAGGGCCTCACACACGCATGCACACACACACACACACACACACATATACACACACACACATGGGTAGTTCCAAGTTCCCTTACTCAAGTTAGATACATTTCCAAGGGAACACATGCATCACAGACAGCAATACACACTGTTGACCATCCAGTAGTTTATGGCAGTTCATGGTTAACAAACACTGTCTTCACGTTCTTTTGCTTGTTCTACAAATTTTGATCTCAAAATTAAGAAGGATGCCAGAACACAGCTGGTGTGGGTTTGCCATTGTAGCACTGACCACATTAACAACTTCCTGATTACCTGGCATGAGATGCTCTCAGCTGAGAAGCATTCCAGGGTATTGACACAAACTAATCGTAATAGGAAAGGGATTAGGTGTTTGCCACCATGAGCAGCTATTGTATGCAAGCCCACTCCACACTAACAAATACAGTACATAGAAAAACTCACAAAAATAGTTCTGAAGCTAAGCCACAAATCTTTTGAAAACCTCAATGAAAAACGTGTTGTTTTAAAATCAGGAATTTGAAGAAGTCTTACTCCAAGAAAATATTTGCCACAGTGCAACCTTTGAATACAAACAAATGTGTTCTATCCAGGTACCATCTAAATTCAAATGTGTGGTATTGCTCCATGTTAAGTTCCCTGGTAAAGGTAGGTAAGGCCTTACCTGGCTGTGGACCTCTGAGGTGGTGCTCTGTCCAGGCTCAAAGTCAAATATGCTCCTGGGCTGTGGTGGCTCCCCCCATCGGTCTGAAAGCTTATCTTCAACCCCCAGCTCACTCCTGAAACACAATCCCCAACAACATGCATGCACGAACACACACACAACGCAACTTAATCATGGTTTCAGTGTCAGTGCCTGTAGGAACAGATCCAAACGTGTCTATCCGGCACTTGTTTTTGTCTCTCCCCACACTCCTTGCCTTGGGTCTAGATTGGAATTCACACTTATGCCATTCACCCAATTACCAGGTTGACTCAAGTAGCATGTACTAGGTGTTTCACAATGACTGACCACATGCTTCTGATATGCTGTGAACTTAGTCATGGTTATACGGTAACAGAAACAAACACATTCTAACATTCTCAACATGAGTTCTTCCACCTCACTAAGCTCTACTGTTGGTTTAAATTAGGAGGTTGAACGTGGACTCTCCAAGTCTCACCAGTCAGGGAGGGATCCATAATTGTCCATATGGGTCTGAGTCTGCTGCCCACCGGCTGAGTCAGCAGCAAGGGCCCGGGTCCCTGAGGATCCGTCGAAATTAGTGTTAGCAATGACTGGCCATCTGATAGAGTAGATATGTTACAGCCCAGAACATGGAACATGGCTATGGTATTTCCACTTTACTCACTTTCAGCAGACCATCGCTCAGAGTCCTCGTCAGTTTCTAACAAATGGGCAAAGATAGCAAAGAGAGTTAGAGGGATTTAGAGAACAGTAATCATAAATAGTACCCTTCCACACCAATCTCAACAAACCATTTCTGTATGAACCTTGCTTTGTGCACAGGGGCATTGTCATGCTGAAACAGGAAAGGGCCTTCCCCAAACTGTTGTCACAAAGTTGGAAGCACAGAATCGTCTAGAATGTCATTGTATGCTGTAGCGTTAAGATTTCCCTTCACTGGAACTAAGGGGCCTAGCCCAAACCATGAAAAACAGCCCCAGACCATTATTCCTCCTGCACCAAACTTTATAGTTGGCACTATGCATTCGGGCAGATAGCGTTCTCCTGTTCAAACCCAGATTTGTCCATCGGACTGCCAGATGGTGAAGCGTGATTCATCACTCCAGAGAACACGTTTCCACTGCTCCAGAGTCCAATGGCGGCTTTACACCACTCCAGCCGACGCTTGGCATTGCGCATTGTGATCTTAGGCTTGTGTGCGGCTGCTCGGCCATGGAAACCCATTTCATGAAGCTCCCGACGAACAGTTATTGTGCTGATGTTGCTTCCAGAGGCAGTATGGAACTCGGTAGTGAGTGTTGCAACCGAGGACAGACGATTTTTATGCGCTACGCGCTTCTGTGAGCTTGTGTGGCCTACCACTTCACGGCTGAGCCGTTGTTGCTCCTAGATGTTTCCACTTCACAATAATAGCACTTACAGTTGACCGGGGCAGCTCTAGCAGGGCAGAAATGTGCCGAACTGACATGTTGGAAAGGTGGCATCCTATGACGGTACAACGTTGAAAGTCACTGAGCTCTTCAGTAAGGCCATTCTACTGCCAATGTTTGTCTATGGGGATTGCATGGCTATGTGCTGAAATAGCCAAATCCACTATTTTTAAGGGGTGTCCACATACTTTTGTATACAGTACATAGTGTATATTCTATTCAGTAGGGCCCCAATTCCGACTCGAGTTAAGATCACTTTTCTCTCTATACATATTCTGACCTTGAACTTAAGCATGAGAATAGCATGCTAATCACCTGCTATTTGTTCGTGGTGGAGATCTAAGAAATGAAATTGTGGCGGAGGTGTGTCTACAGATATACCGTATTCTGACCTTCTGACTTCATTCCCTAATAAATCCACGACTTTTACGTGAGACGATACCATGAATAAGGTCGAGCGAATCTGCCGGTTCCATGTAGAAAAAGCATCTACTTATTTTTTTCCTATAGAAATAACAGCTATCTCCATACACTGTAATTTACAACTTGATAAGAGCTATTGATAAGAGCTAGGTAAATGAGTAATCCATTTGGATAAGGGAATTGTAAATATAAATGACACTTGGTTTAGATCTATTTTACCTTATAATCGCTGGAGACAAATTTGAAACCAGTCATATGGCAGCAAACTGAAGCATATAAACATATCAACTTCCCCACATTAAAGTTTATGAAATGCTATGCCGTTATGCAGAATTTAAATTGTACAGCCTTTTAATTTGCAGGGATGGGCACTCTCAAATGTCTCGACTTCCGCGACTTTCTCTGTTTCCTATTTCTATCATCTTAAATATTAGCCACTATCAGTATCGACTGTCAGTAGGCCTAATAACCACACATATTCAACTGCCAATTTACTGTTAGTTCCCTTCAGTTGGTATAGCCTACGTTATCATTCTATTTAATTACATTGTTTCAGTTATCTTCATTTGCTTCCTCTGTAAACGCCATCACGGTCATGTGGTTGTTGCTGAGGATCATTAGTAACAGTTCATAATATAAAAAACAATAATTTAATTGTTATGGAGCAGAGCGCAGACCAAGCTGTAACAGTTAGAACCTGACGCATGGCGCAATACCTGGCTGTGTCATCAAACAGTTCCATGGTTGGTGCAGGCAATAGATGAGGGTATAGCCTACTATTGTACACTATTCTCCCTATTATAATTATATGTACACTAATCTTCCAACATTACCATGGGTCAAAGAACTGAATTTGGCAATTTTCAGAAGGAATCAAACCACCATATTTTTTATTCATCAATATATAGTCCTGTGTAGCTCTGTTGGTAAAGCATGGCGTTTGCAACGCCAGGGTTGTGGGTCCGTTTCCCACGGGGGACCAGTATGAAAAAAAAATATGTATGCACTCACTAACTGTAAGTCGCTCTGGATAAGAGCGTCTGCTAAATGACTAAAATGTAAATATTTTGTGTGTAAATGCTCTCCAAAACATGTTTTATTTATTTTTTATTCTTATATACTTATCATGCCTAAATAATCTATAAAGTCAGAGTATTTTTTGATCTAACTGTTGGTGTTGAAACGGAGACGAATATGCATATATTTGGATTTCTTTCATTGACCCCTATTTTCTGAACCTGTTCTCTCAATGTATTTTAGTCTGTAGACAAAATTATAATTAAAGGTACACTGTATTTAAAGGGAAGGCTTAAGATAAATGTACTGAAAACCCTATTGAATGAAAACTCTATGACAAAATCTGTTGGCCAGCAAGTGGGAGGGTTTTCAGCGGTTCAATTACATTTATTCAGCTCGCGCAAGGGAACCACGCCTGCAAAGCCTGTTAGGCACCTTCATAAGGTAAGTCTGAATACCAAGTGCTGAAAGGCGTGCCTACGAAAGGCATAATTTCTTAAAGCAGAATCGGGCCCTAGTGACATTCCAATGCCATTATGAAATGTGACTAATGCAAATATTTTCTGTACTCTGCCAAAGGAATCCATCACCTGCACACTAATCAGGTTGGTGCCTATGGCACAATGAACCAGGACAGTAGACACTGCTCTCAGGAGGGATCAGTGGCTGTGAAACCTGTTAAAGGTTAAAAGCCAACTGCCTGCAGAGTGGTGACACCTGAGAATCAGTTTTAAACTCCATCCTGGCCATTCCCGTGCTGTCACTCTGAGGACCTGAGTGCTGCCTGTCAATACCACCAAGCAGACACATAACCAGACATAGACTACTGATATACAACTGGATATAAGAACTGGTATGAAGGAATACATTTAGGATGGGGCTAGATATGTGGAGATACTGTAGATAAATTGGAATGATTGGGTATAGATATCAAAACGGCTTGAGAGTTCTCCTCTCCCTGGAATAATCTGCCCTCTGGATCAGCTCTCTGGAGGCTGACATTGATAGAAAGGAATTCTCTGTCTGGGCTGGTGTGAGTGTGTGTGAGAGAAGGCGAGAGGGAGGAGGGGTCATACCTTCTGGCTTCTTGTGGATCTGCCTGAACATGCTCCTGTACCAGTCTTTGGGCTTGTTCACACTCTGGTGTGAGAAAAGAAGGGAACATGACAAAAACATACAGTGGGGAGAACAAGTATTTGATACACTGCCGATTTTGCAGGTTTTCCTACTTACAAAGCATGTAGAGGTCTGTAATTTTTATCATAGGTACACTTCAACTGTGAGAGACGGAATCTAAAACAAAAATCCATAAAATCACATTGTATGATTTTTAAGTAATTCATTTGCATTTTATTGCATGACATAAGTATTTGATCACCTACCAACCAGTAAGAATTCCGGCTCTCACAGACCTGTTAGTTTTTTTTAAAGAAGCCCTCCTGTTCTCCACTCATTACCTGTATTAACTGCACCTGTTTGAACTCGTTACCTGTATAAAAGACACCTGTCCACACACTCAATCAAACAGACTCCAACCTCTCCACAATGGCCAAGACCAGAGAGCTGTGTAAGGACATCAGGGATAAAATTGTAGACCTGCACAATGCTGGGATGGGCTACAGGACAATAGGCAAGCAGCTTGGTGAGAAGGCAACAACTGTTGGCGCAATTATTAGAAAATGGAAGAAGTTCAAGATGACGGTCAATCACCCTCGGTCTGGGGCTCCATGCAAGTTCTCACCTCGTGGGGCATCAATGATCATGAGGAAGGTGAGGGATCAGCCCAGAACTACACTGCAGGACCTGGTCAATGACCTGAAGAGAGCTGGGATCACAGTCTCAAAGAAAACCATTAGTAACACACTACGCCGTCATGGATTAAAATCCTGCAGCGCACGCAAGGTCCCCCTGCTCAAGTCAGCACATGTCCAGGCCCGTCTGAAGTTTGCCAATGACCATCTGGATGATCCAGAGGTGGAATGGGAGAAGGTCATGTGGTCTGATGAGACAAAAATAGAGCTTTTTGGTCTAAACTCCACTCGCCGTGTTTGGAGGAAGAAGAAGGATGAGTACAACCCCAAGAACACCATCCCAACCGTGAAGCATGGAGGTGGAAACATCATTCTCTGGGGATGCTTTTCTGCAAAGGGGACAGGACGACTGCACCGTATTGAGGGGAGGATGGATGGGGCCATGTATCGCGAGATCTTGGCCAACAACCTCCTTCCCTCAGTAAGAGCATTGAAGATGGGTCGTGGCTGGGTCTTCCAGCATGACAACGACCCGAAACACACAGCCAGGGCAACTAAGGAGTGGCTCCGTAAGAAGCATCTCAAGGTCCTGGAGTGGCCTAGCCAGTCTCCAGACCTGAACCCAATAGAAAATCTTTGGAGGGAGCTGAAAGTCTGTATTGCCCAGCGACAGCCCCGAAACCTGAAGGATCTGGAGAAGGTCTGTATGGAGGAGTGGGCCAAAATCCCTGCTGCAGTGTGTGCAAACCTGGTCAAGACCTACAGGAAACGTATGATCTCTGTAATTGCAAACAAAGGTTTCTGTACCAAATATTAAGTTCTGCTTTTCTGATGTATCAAATACTTATGTCATGCAATAAAATGCAAATGAATTACTTAAAAATCATACAATGTGATTTTCTGGATTTTTGTTTTAGATTCCGTCTCTCACAGCTGAAGTGTACCTATGATAAAAATTACAGACCTCTACATGCTTTGTAAGTAGGAAAACCTGCAAAATCGGCAGTGTATCAAATACTTGTTCTCCCCACTGTATTTGTAGACATATGAGAAAACGTTTATAGTATCTGAAGATTATGCCTTTGTTAAATGTTTTTCATGAAGAAATGGAATGTTGGTTATGTTAGTATCAAAAGGCAATGTTTAGTATAATGTCACATATAATAGACAGGAAGTGTGTTGTAAACTGGTGATTGGCCAGAGGAGGGAGTTTCATTGTTTATAAATAGGGGGGTTGGGCGAGGAAGACGTCAGAACGGCCATGGCAATCGGGAGAGCCGTTCTCCGGGTGTCATGTCACCTGTCATTTATGCTGTAACCTCGTGATTTTAATAAAAGCCTCTAACACGATGCAGCATAAAACGGACTCTTTGTTGACAGCAATAATGGCCACCATTCATCCGATACAACACGTTCTCAGAAGTTTCAGAGTACATGAATGAGAACATTTTGGCACCAGGTAAATGACAACTACAGATGTTGGATCTTAATATGATCACTATTTTGTTGCTGAGAATTTTCCTGCCCCGGGAAATGCAGATGAGCTTCATGTTTTACATAAATTCACTGAGAACACGCAATAACACACGATTATCTTAACAGTATTGCACTTTTCATGTAGCCTAATTTTGGACAGCTAATAGCCTAACAAGCAACATTATGGACTAAACATTAAAATCCTGTTGCTGCAGGATTATTTTGCTGCGACAATACTGGTCAAATTAAGATCCTACACCTGTAGGAGCGTACCAATGAGTTTTTCCTATCTGCGTGACCAGATTAAGAAAAAGTCTGGGCACTAGGGCCATATGTGGTTATAATATTATATAATATATAACAATAATATATGCTTTTTAGCAGACGATTTTATCCAAAGCGACTTACAGTCATGTTATGTATGGTTATGAATGCTGCTGTCTGTCTGTGTTTATCTTACTGATCTGGAGGCGATGGGCATCCCTGTTTCATCCACTGGGCCGATCCCAGAGAACTTGATGAGGCGCTCCTCCCTTGTAGCAGCCCTGCATGGCAGAGTGGAAGAGCCCCTGGTCTGGACTCCATTAGAAATAACCCCTGTTACAGAAAGACAGGACAGATCTGTTATCAAAAGCAGTTCAAACTGTCCTCATTCTTCTATTACATTTCAGCTGAGTAACAGTATGAACATTCAAGCGGTCTTCTTCACCACTATTGCCACTGGGTGGCATATACCCCGCATCATATAATACATTTTAGGGTGATAATAAAATGATTGTGAAGGCTTCATTAAAGCTGACCAAAGATCCCATAATACTTTGCACATTCATCACTTAAACATAAAACATATTTACATGTATATTTACATTTACATCATTTAGCAGACGCTCTTATCCAGAGCGACTTACAAATTGGTGCATTCAACTTATGATAGCCAGTGGGACAACCACTTAAAATAAATGTAAATAATATGGGGGGGTGGGAGAGGGAGGGGTAGAAGGATAATCAAACTAAAACTGTAATGCTCTATATGATCATTTCAAGAAAACTATAATCCTACCATTTGATTGAGCAGGGCCATAGTATGATCCAAAACGAAGAGGGTCGGTAAGAGGGTCACTCCCATTGACCTCTGAGACCTAGGATGGAAAAACAGTTAGTCTGATATAAACATTATCAGTCGGAGAGCATGTGGCTGTATATATGAATAGTGTGTAAATAGTATTTTTGGTGTCTCTTGGTGTCTTTCCTATATATAACTCTTTATTTTTTGTAATTATTTTTTAAATGTAATATCTTATGTTGTTCTTGTCTTTTACTGTTCTGTACTTCGTCATGTATTTGTACGTTCTATGTGGAACATGTGCAGTAGCTAATGGGGATCCTAATAAACTAAACTAAACTGTGGAAATAGTCTGTAGTGCAAGAGACATTAGCATATATTGGATTAACCAACAGAAATACAGGACCTCTATCAATATCCAGTACATTCCAATTCAGTGGCATAACACTGAACCTGTGATACTAGACAATTCCACAGGATGGAGCAGTTGTCTATGAATATAACGTGTGATCTACACTGAGTGTACAAAACATTAAGAACACTTACTCTTTCCATGACATAGACTGACCAGGAGAATCCAGGTGAAAGCTATGATCCTTATTGATGTCACTTGTTAAATCCAATTCAATCAGTGTAGATGAATGGGAGGAGACATGTTAAAGAAGGATGTTGAAGCCTTGAGACAATTGAGACATGGATTGTGTATGTTTGCCATTCAGAGGGTGAATGGGCAAGACAAAATATTTAAGTGTTGCTGGGTTTTTCACACTCAACAGTTTCCTGTGTGTATCAAGAATGGTCCACCACCCAAATGTAATTCAGTCAACTTGACACAACTGTGGGAAGCATTGGAGTCAACATGGGCCAGCATCCCTGTGGAACGTTTTCGACACCTTGTAGAGTCCATGCCCTGACAAATTGAGGCTGTTCTGAGGGCAAAAGGGTGGGTGGGTGGGGGGGGGGGGGGGGGGGGGGGTGCAATATTAGGAAGGTGTTCATTTTTACATTTTTAGTCATTTAGCAGACGCTCTTATCCAGAATGACTTACAGTTAGTGAGTGCATACATTTTCTCCCTTACTGTGTTCCTAACTGCTGTTATCGTTGAAGTGCTACAGATGTAGGATCTTCATTTGATCACCATGTTGCAGGAGAACTTTCTTGCAATGCAGGACATTTAAAACCTGTAGTATATTTGAGGTTTAAAAAGGTTTCTGAAGTTTGTAATTTCCACTTGGAAATTTCAGACTTGATTTTCCCTTAAGAAAAATGGATCAACCCCTCTACATAAATGTCCATTAATTATAATTCATATAATAATTCACATTTCCTGTTGCAAACTGGCTCAAATTAAAATCCTAAATCTGAACAATAACCATGTGCATCTTCTTAACAGTTTTGCTTGCCTTAATGAGCTCCACGGGTGGCAGTCTTGTGGAACGGAAGGGGCTAAGAAGGGGGGTGGGGAGCCCCGGGGAGATGACCACCACCTCCTGGGTCAGGTCTGGAGGGGACAGGTGATGCTGCTGGCTGGAGGGAGGGCCATCGTCAGAGAAGACGATACGAGAGCCGTTCAGATGGTCCAGGACTTCCACACGTTGCTACAGGAGAGAGGCAGTTGAACACTACATCTAAACACAGCCATGTCATGTTGTTAATGCTCTGTCTGTCTGTCTGTCTGTCTGTCTGTCTGTCTGTCTGTCTGTCTGTCTCTCTCTCTGAGGGAGGTCAAGTGAGCTTGTTAACCTAACAGTGGGGCTCCTGGTGAAAAGTTCTCTAATTTATTTAAAGCAGAGCAGCAGAAGGATGTGCGGTTCCACCCACTTCATCATCTCCCTTGCAGAGGCTGTAGAAAGGGCCCATTCAGGACCTATATCAGGGGGCTGAAACAGAAGAGGCCCATTATAAGGCCATTAACCATCCATTCAGCTGGGCCTTGTATTCTCCAACTAGGGGGCGTGGCCCAGGCCGAGGGGGTCGAAACGGGGTCACTGATGTTGACCGCAGTGAAAGTGCACCAGCGTTAGCGATTCTCCCAAAGCCCTCCCCTGCTCTCTACCTTTCCGTGGCAACTGGTCAGCCTCCCTCCTTGCTGCCCAACACCACCCCTCTTATCCAACTCCTGCGTGTTTGAGTCCACAAGGGGTGTTTCAGCTCTCTCTATGTGGACTCTGGGGGTCATGGGTAGCTCTTGTGCCTCTCACACAGGATGAAACTGTATCTAGCTAAATCAGAGAGATGCCATTTTCATGAAAATTGAAGCCTGTAAATACAGTAAATAGCTGTTATTTTCATTCTACCTTATATGTGTTGTTGTTTTGCCTTGTTGTATAGTATCTTTAAAAGGCAACCCTCTGTGTGCTGTTCATGCCAACTCTGCCAAGGCAGACTTCAAAGGTTTTTGTCTCTGAGAGCAAAATCGTTTTGTTTTTAATACCTCTATCAAATCTTCAATACTTTGGCTCTGCCTGAATATGTTATTTCATAGAATTCAGTTCTACTAAGAATCTAGCTCTCTTCATGTGGCGTTAGAGATAGATGTCAGTTTGACTCTCAAATCCTAAATTAACTTTGTGAGCCAAAATGCCTGTACCTGAGACTGCATTTCATTTGTTATGATCCTGGCTGGTCTCTGACGCCAAAGTCTTTGTGCAGCCGCCAAAGTATCCACCTGTGATAAACAAAACACACATACCGGTTAGATGGTGAGCAAATAATTGATATCAAGTCACTCACACGCAGAGAACACCACGGTAGCATATTCTCTTACACAACACCCTAAAAGGAGACAAACAGATTTATGGTCAATTACCTCTTATTCCAGAGACAATTGCACTATGCCTTTTAGTTGGGTCACCAATCTGGAATACACATTGCATTGACGTCTGTGCCCAGTGGAAAGGGACTGACCAAAGAGCTCAGGAGCTGCCTGCACTGATAAAAGTCAGTTACAATTTAACAAACTGTACTTCTTCAGTTCTTCAGTTATTGGATTATTTATTTTTTATGCCGAGCATCACTCCCAGAGATCTGAACTTTGATACACTTCCCGGCAGAAGAGCAGGCAGGCATTCAAGACTGAATTGTGTGTTCTCTAAAGACGAATGAACGCATTTCAGATCAAAATGTACTGTATAGAAAACGTTTCATGTCTATATTACATGTTAATGTGTAACGTCCTTTGTTGGGTCTCTGTGGGATTGATTGATTCATTCTATGCCACAGACCATTCTTTTCAGTGGAATATTTAATATTTAACATTTAATCTCTGAGTCATTAGTCTCTCTGCCAAACAACCTTTTCTGCCATAAATCAAAACTAAGTCATGAGTAGAGTTGACTGGGGTTCTATTAACCCACTGTCAAGGCATTCTGAAAGGAGAAAGTTTGTTATCCTCCTTTCCCTGTTAACACAGCAGAGGCCATTCAAAACATGAGTCAAAACTCTCCCTAAACTCTTCCATAACACATAGTAAAGAGAGAGCTGTGAGAATGGGCACTGTGGAGAGAGTGAGCCATGTCAGGCTGAAGTCAGGTCCTAATCACCAGCACCTTGGAAAATCAGATTAGCTGTTTCTACATCAAAGGCCGTGGGGACTCAAGGGGGGGTCATTTCCTCTCTCGTAGGAGGCGCCTCTCCTCCACAGTGGCTCCAAAGGCCCATAATAACATGGTTGGCATGGAAACTTAAGAACTGAAAAGATCTACAACTGCTACTATGGGACTTGAGAATTGATACGTGATTATTAAGGCTTTCCATTTGTGGTCAACTTTCTCCAACTTGGGCCTTGGCCAGGCAAGGTTGAGAGCTGTCCAATAGTTTTTGGGTTGATGGGTTTTCCATGTGGCCCATAACATTAGAGACTGTAATCATTATGGTCAGTGCTCAGAGACAGATATATGCACTCTGTCTGTGTACAGTACAACAACCCAGGACCAAATGTAGCAGAGAGATCCAATCAGTGTTACCGGTTCCAGACAATGATGTCACTCTTTCTGACTCATCACCTCCGAATAAATCAGGTTACGTTACAGGGAAAATATGGGAAATGGGAGATCATTGTCTACAATAATACCATTACAGCTCAGATACAACACAGATGTTAAGACTGCACTAAAAGCAATGATGTTTATGTGAGGGACACTTTAACAGTATATCACACTTGCCAACAGCATAAATCAGTTAGGTTTTCTGGTTGTTTTCACTGTGGTATTTCAACATAAATATTCACACTTCCAATGGCCTTTAGGGCAGGCAGCATTGTAGATGTTTGACATGATGTTGGTTTCTCTTGATTCTATGGCCATTACAACCCTCAGGTCTGGCTGTCTGTGGGCTGACATTCATTTTACATTTTTGTCATTTAGCACACGCTCTTATCCAGAGCAACTTACAGGAGCAATTAGGGTTAAGTGCCTTGCTCAAGGGCACATCGACAGATGTTTCACCTAGTCGGCTAGAACCAGCAACCTTTCGGTTACTGGCACAATGCTCTTAACCACTAAGCTACCTGCCGCCCCACTGAGATCCCATCTCACTGATGGATAACAAATAGTATTTCCACATAGGAGGACTGTTCAATCTAATACTCCAAAAGGACAAACAATTGAGCTCCTTTTTGTTTCAAACACTGCTGCCATTCATGTCTCAACGTCAATCACTGGTGCAATAGGGCTGTCTCTTGTTTCTTCTTTTCATGTATAATATTATAAATTGTGTTATTGCTGGAGAGACATATCTAATCATGATACATGAAGAGGGGGATCAACATGCATTGACTGTTTTGTTACAGACTTTGAAAGAAAACATTTGCAGACAAATGTCCTCTCAGTTCACAAAAGAACACCAATAAAATATCTGCTCTGAGGGTGGGAGTTAGTCAAACAGCCACTGTAGCACATCCACCCACACTGCATACCGCATACATAATTTAAACAACGGGTGGGTCTAATCCTGAATGTCTATTCCACAAATTACCACCAGCTAAATCTATGACGTTAAAATGCCTATTTACACTGTTCCATCTGACTGCGCAATCCACTGTTTCATTAACCCAGTCAGGCACTTTATAAATTTGATCTCCACTATAAAAAGCATCTAGGCATTATCTCACATTTCTTTTAGACTTTTTCAACAGCAGAGATTTGTATAAACCTTGCTGTCTTGTCTCTCCGACATTTGCAACATTGTTTCAATATTCAAATTCGATCTCCTGCTGTCCCATAGTATTGAACTTGTCGGGAGTCGGGACGAGACAGAAAGGCAGGCAGCGTTTCTCAGCCGAAATCATGAATCAGCTGTCATCATTTTTATGGATTTATACAAAAAATTGTCAATTGAAAAAAATGTCAAACGAAACGCAGCTAATTTGCAGTCTTTCCAGCTTCAGTTCGACGTGATTGTGTTACTGTAGCTATGTTGTTGGCTAGCTCCTCTGAACAACAGTGTCCTGACGAGTGAGCACATTCTCTATGCCAGGCGAAATTGCGCCTCATTAGCTCATTGTTATGTATGTGTCCAAATAAATGTCACTAGAAAACAGCTTAAACAAATGCAAATATGCTACTTTCTTTTATTCTGGCGGAACTTTTTGACGTGACTGTAAATTAGACGTAGTTGGCTAGCAAGCAAGGGATAAGAACGTTGCTAGCCAGTATGGCAATGGAACATTTAGAATGAACGACTGGGTCGCGTCTATAGATGCAGAACAAAAAGACTGAACGACTGGGTCGCGTCTGTAGCAGCCCTAGATTTGTGTCGGGACTATATTTTGTGGAAGGATGAAATAGTACGAATAGATTAATCAATAACGTTTTTAATTTAAATATGTAAATCATTATTTGAATATGTTGGTAACCCGTTGTATAAAGGTGATAATGACTTCGCGGGCATTATCACTGAATTATGCACTGCGAAAATGCATGCGTTCATTAGAATAGTCTTCTTTAACATTTTCAGATTCACCACATTACTTCAAATGCACTTCCAATTATGGCAGTAACAATATCGCTTCCATACTGCAGGTTTGAAAGACTCCCAGCCTAGGTACTTTTAGTATCTTTGGCACCACAACAAAAACAATTTAAAGATCCAATGCAGTGGTTTTCATCTCAATATAAAATCATGTCTAAGTAAAATTAATGTATGATTGTTTTCAATTAAAATGGTCAAAAAGAAATAAAAATAGCTTCTTAGCAAAGAGCAATTTCTCAAGCAATAACTTTGCTTGGACTGTCTGGGAGTGATCTGAGTGGGGAGGGAAAAACTGAAAACTAGCTGTTATTGGCAGAGAGGTTTGGAACTATTTTTCTTATTAGTTAATTAACTAATTTACATTAGTACATTTTTTTACAACACTAATTTACAACACAGGAAAATCACATTTTTGATTGCACTGGGCCTTTAAAATAAAAAATCATAGGTAGAAGTATCTCTACCAGTATGCATCAGAGGTAAAAAAAAAATATATATATATATATATCCCTTTGTCTGTGCATTTGGCCTCTACTGTTCTCATGACCTAAATTAGTCTGGATGGAGGATGGAGGTCTAATTGTATCAGCCAGAGCTGCACATATTACCACTCCCAGAGCACCAAACA